TTTCCTGCTAATTTGTTTCTTTTTTCTTTTTTAAAAGGCAGTTAATATGGAGGTCATTATTACCATAGCAACAAACAAGCTTTACTTTGCTTCTGCCTGTACCTAACAATAACCAAAGGGTTGCAGTTTGCTTTAATTGGTTACTTGGCAAGATCAGTCAGAACACTTAAAAATTCTTTACCCTCTCTGTCTCCTGTTTGCTGCTTTTTATTCTATTACTCGAAGGGCGTGTAGGAACAAGGCGAGGTGGGAAGAGACAAAGAGACACAAAGAGGTGAAGCAACAGGAGAGAGAGAGAGAAAGTAAAGCTACACTAAATAAAAGCCCCATGCTGTGTGAAGCACACAGGGGGAAGGAGAGCTACAGAAACAGCAGAGGAAGAGACAGATGGTGGTGGACAGATAGGGGGCTGGGCAAATCGAGGTACATTTTTCTGTCTTCCTCTTTCTTTCTGAACGTCGTACTGGTTCCCTGACACACTAATCAGGTGGCGGGAATGTGTGACAGCTGCTTTCAGGGCTGATGCAGTGTGTTCAGGTAGAGGCCGCATCTGTCCAGCCAGTTATTGGCCCTCTGTTCCCGAGCTCATAAGCCCTTCTTCTGCTCGTGTTGTTGCTGTGACTCAGAAGCAGGGGACGCTGTAGCTGCTCCAACAGCTGGCGCCTCCACAAACACACCGGCATTTCTGGTTGGAAACCAATACAGATGTACATCTGGATTTTATCTGAGTCACCTTTTGTAATTTCTATTCATAGAGCTGCATTTGAGTTATCTTCTGTCCAAGCATGCAGATCTGACCTTGTTTGGCTGTGGAGGCACCTGCTGTCCCCACCTATCCGAGAAGGGAAAACATTCTGTTTATCTATGGAGAGTAAGTCCGAATGAAGTCACCATATCATCATTTTAGCCGTAAACGTTTTCAATCTTTTTCTCTTCAAACAACCCAAGGTCCCAGAGGGTCAGTCGTAAGGACAACAGCTAGATCTGTTGCTTTTCATGGTATCATTTTCCAAGGTTTGATTTGTTTGTAAAGTTCTTTATTTACCTCTGCAACAGCATCCACAGCAGAACTTCCTTCAGTTCTTCAAAATAAGAGTCCTAAACATGCAAAACGTCTGAATTAGGCCTCAAACTACAACCTAACCTGCCAGAAATCCTGGATCCATCAGATGACGTGTGAGCTAAAGTGATTTTATTTGAACTCTATTGAGAATAAATTAGGCTGCATGGTGATGCAGTTGGTAATGCTGTTGCCTCGCAGCAGAAGGGTGACTGGTTCCAATCCCACCTCTGTGGCATTATTGCACAGTTAGCATGTTCTCCCCATGCATGCATTGGTTCCTCCTGTTTACATTCATGTCAGGCTGATTGGACAGCTGAGTCATCTCTAGGTGTCAGTGATTATGTGACAAACTGAATGTCTTTGTGTGTCCCTGTGATGGACAAAGACCTGTCCAGGTTGTCCTTCACCTCACACGCAATGGTCCCTGGAGAAAGTCACCAGCTCCCTGTTGCCCTGGTGAGGATGAAGTGATAAAAAATGAATAAATGGATGAAAATTTCTATTCCATTCTATTCTATCCTGTATAAGTAACATGAACTTAATTGGATGGTAGCAAGGTCCAAACTAAATCATTCAAGTTAATGCCTGAACGATGATGGGAGATCATTGCATCTTTAGATTTTTATGCAGGAAAATGTCCCATTCATTTACATGATGGAGGCTGGATTTAAAACCTGTGGTGGAACCAGCTAACAGGAGTGGGTTGTTTTGTTTTAGCTTCAACTTTTGTGTTCCAGTTTGCTTTTATCTGTATGATGTCAGAGGGTGCCTTTAGCCAATGGACAGGAACAACAACAACTAAAAATGGAGGTCAAATCAAATGACAGTTGTTTTAGTTGCTAAGAATCTTCGACGCATTGAGAATAAGGTTTCAGTAGCTAATAATAAACTCGTTATTGCTGCTGTTTTATTTAGCTATTCCTGTGTCTTTAACTGCTGACGTTTTACATGTTGTTGTTTAGAGAATCTGGCCTTCCTCCCGAGGGGAGATAGAAGTTAGTGCCTTAGTTGAATCTTAAACAGACATGTGATTTTGTTGCTGACCTGCTATTGTCCTGTTATCTACGTTACAAGGTACCTGAGTCTCAGAGGACAGCATGCCTCTTTAATTGTCAGAGACATTTCTATTTCCATCCTGCTGTAGAGAATGCCAGATGTTGGAGAGGTTTGTGTTGTCGTGCTGCAGACACACTCAGGTGCTTCTTGGTTTTATAACAAACCAAAGCAGAAGTCTTTAATTTAATTTATGGTTTAGAAAACGACATTTTTCAGGTTAGAGATTAATGCTGCTAGTCATCATAATGGATCATGTCAACAACAACATTTAGTTAGTGTCAATATTTTTGGTCTGTATCTGAGATGAAGTGTTTTTGAAGAAAAAACGAGTCTAAAGTGTTCATGTACTTTAAGCTGGCCAATGATAAATTATCATTTTTAACAGCGCAAATTTTATTTTACTTATTGCAAAAACAAAAACAGATGCCCAAAAAAAGCCTAAAGCCTTTAAAATATTCTTTAAGATGTGGAGCCGCTGTGACTTGGTTTGACTTCATCCAGCCTGAAGTATCGATGACACTCCTTTTAAGACACTTTTATTGTGAAGGTAAATTGTGTTGGAATAATAACTTTCAATAGAAAACAAATGAATGAACTTATATATCCTGGTTAGGATGAACTCCCCTTTTAAAAGGAGGATGTGACAGCAGATCAGACGTTTCCTGTTTTTAAATATGAAATCTTAGTCAGATGTATGTTTCTCGCTGTGCAATTATTATTTCATAATATTTAATATTTTCTGAAACCTAAACTTTTAAAGGAAGTTTGAATAAATGATGACATATTTAGTGTTGTGACAGCCTCACATAGTTTCTGCATTTAAACCAACATTACATATTTCGGTTTGTGGTTTATTTTTTTGAATGAAGTTTTTGTTCCTTTCGTTGTTGAGGTGCTTCAGCTCTCACTACTCATTTTTCAGTCCAAATATTCCACATTACCCATAAGGCCATGCTGCAGCAGTGCATCTGTTCCCTCTCATCCTTTTATCTCATGTTGCCTTAGAAGCACATCTTTATTCCCCTCTACACGTTTTATCTTCACTGTCAGTGCAGCTGCACGATAAAGGGGCAAAACTTAATTTAATAAAAACTGATTTAGGTTTTTTCATGTTTCTCTGGAGCTGTGATGGGTCGAAGCTTTTTAGCCTCCTTGGGTTGCTGTATTGCACTCAGGCCAGTGTGTGCCATTGATGTCCTCGCGAGCGTGCACTCTACCACCGCTGAGTGTTCTGGGTTTTCTCTCTATTTTGTTCAGCCAACATTTAGCCCCCCCACCAAAGTCCCTTCTCCAGACTATGGGTTTAGGGGACAGTTTAAAAAATCCCCCAGCTTGACATCAGACTGTGATTCAGTGAAATTTCATAACTTCCTAGAGGAAAAAGCTCTGAAGCCTTTTTTAGTGTTGTGGCTCAAAACCATGGTCAGAATGAACTCATGACTTTGTATCATTTCCACGTGAGCGTTAAGACTTTTCTCCAGGCTGCAGGGAAACACAACTTGTGTATCAACCAGTTTGTTTAATGAGACTTTTTCTTTTAGCTCCAGAGAATATATATGCACTCTTCTGTTTTTCTCTACCTTTGGCTGTTTAGACTGTAGCCCATGTGGACGACCTGACCAGATCCACCCGGTCAGAAGCGTTATTTAGTAAAAGGATAAAAAGTGTCTTCTACCCTTTCTGCTTTGGTATTTGCTTGCTGTAAAAAAACCACCAACAAAGATTTATCTTGTTCAACACAAGCTTGGCTTCATTTTTAATTTAAACCACAGTTGCTGTTAAATTAAGCACAATGGTCTTTTGAGTGATTGCACTTCTAACAAGGTCACATTCAAGTTATGTTTCCTGTGTTTAAAACTGCATCACGACTCACTCCTGGTAGTGTCCTGGCATGCAGCGAGTACCTGCAAAAAAGGGTAATTATTTACTGCACAGTTCACAGTGCTGTAATTGGAAACTCTATTGAAGCTGTAAATACAGCACCCTCTCCTCTGCTGTCACTAGGAGAGTTTCTTTTTTACGCATTTGGCCCAGCGTGGACATTATTTACCTGGCTTATTGTCAAGTTGAAATTCAGTCTCAAAAGGGCTCCAAAACTAGCAATAAGAAGTAATGGAACACGAGACAACTACAGGGCACACGTTTAGTTCCTGTTCCCGCGGTAGAAGGTCGATGGAACAGCCGCGGCTCTGCTGAGGAATGGTCAGCTACACATCTTTTTTACGATGCCGTGAAAGCAAATAGATTTGTTTGGATCTGCACCTAATTTGAAATGCAGCAATGAATCAGTCTGTAACAATGCTGCAAGCTTTCAAACAGCTCCAAAACAATGAGGAAGGGTTCCCATTTGGGTGGTTTATTATAAAGCATCCAGTGCATCACTGCCTGATGGATGGGGTCTGCTTTCATTTGACTCAGCATGCTTAACCTGTTCTGATGTCTTTGTTCAGTGATTTTTTCAGAAATGTAATTGTGTTAACTTAGAAAGCTGTAATTTACTTTAAACTAGGGATGTCCGATATTACCAATCTACCGTTATTATTGGCCGACATGAAATTATACAGATTATACATCAAAGTCTTTAACTTCTTCTGCTCTCACTCTGAATGGCTAAATATGACCTGAGGTCTAGTTTTGGAGAGATTTTTATTAGTTTGACTCAACTGCCCTAACTTCAACTGAAGTAGTTTTCAAATTATGCACAAATTACAGATGAAACTGGGAAAATTAGAATCTGGTGCAAAGGTCTGTTAATGCCGTAATCCAGCTCCGACTGAGTAATAAACCTCTACATGTTTAATCTATTGAGTTCTTCACTCATCTGCATGATGACAGCAGTGACATCACATCCAGCACTGAGGTTGCTTTCTCTTACCTGCAGGTTAACAGGATTTTCCATCCCTGCTCCTGTAACCAGTTCTGGCTCCATTTTTTCGTTGAGGCTTACCAGTGACTTTGCAGTAAGCGCTCATGGATTTAAGGCAGCTTATGAAGGTAAGAACAGCATCATTTTCTATTCTATGACTCATATTGATATGAAAGACATCTGTTTTTGCACAAAACGCACTTCCCTTCCAAAGGAGTTCTCATTTAGAGGAAAAATCCATCAAGCTGGGGACGAGAGACCACTTGTTCCGAGGGGAGAGGAGTGTGATCACACCTGATCACCTCTGGGATGTCTTCTGCTGAGTTATTGAAGCATTAGGTGCTTCAATTAAGCAAATTATTCCCATATTTTCCAAATCAACATTCCTTCCCCACAAAATAAATCCTGAGCCTTTGCAGCTCCAGAGGTGCATCTGAAACTGCATAGCAGATGGCGGTTGGAATTAGTTGAGTTAATTGATGTGCCGGGATAACTGTAGAGGCAAAGCTGACAAGGGAAGATGCAGCAGAACATATAGAAGCCAGGGTTATTTGCTCTGGCTGCATATGACCTGTGGGCGACGGTGGCACAGGAGTTAAGTGCTCGCCCGTAATCGGAAGGTTGCAGGTTCGAGCCCCGCTCAGTCTGTCGCTGTCGTTGTGTCCTTGGGCAAGACACTTAACCCACGTTGCCTGCTGGTGGTGGTCAGAGGGACTGGTGGCGCCAGTGCTCGGCAGCCTCGCCTCTGTCAGTGCGCCCCAGGGCAGCTGTGGCTACATCGTAGCTCATCCCCACCAGTGTGTGAATGTGTGTGTGAATGGGTGAATGACTGATTGTGTTGTAAAGCGCCTTGGGGGGTTCCAGGACTCTAGAAGGCGCTATATCAAATACAGGCCATTTACCATTTAAAATCAGTCCATTTCACGACGTTACACCTTTGTGCTCAGGCTAACCATCTTCACCATCCCCACCGTCTTCCTCCTCTCATCTCCCCACCTGCCCCCAGATGTGAACCTTCACCTTACCATCCACCCATGTGTACACTATCTGGGGGAACAGATCTGGTCTCACCCCACTTCACCACCTTTAACTGTGTCCCTAACTTTTATTTCTTCTCTTGCCTTTATGCTGAACTGGGTGGGTAACACATTTCATTACCCGTGAGGTACAGCTATTTCCTTTTATTTGAATATTGAAGGGTTGAAAGGACAGTGAGAAATGTTTTCCAATTTATTCAGTGGCAATTTAGATGACTTGTTGTTTTGCCACTTTTGCACTGTGGGAGTCAGATTATGGATTGAGCCAGTGCTGTGATATGTAGACCATAACATTCTGTCTCTGAGGCCTATCACTTATTCCTTAACTGCCTGGCGTGGCAGCATATTACCCAGAATGCAGCATGAATACAAACAAGAACAAATACTTATGAAATTGTATTTTCCTTCTCCTGGATGGTTAATAGTAGTCATGCAGAATGCATGATTACAACAGAACATGGTGGTTCAGAGTTTATGACTGAAATCAGCTGTTACAGATTCAATAAGGTAACGCTTTCACAAGTGCTTTAGTCAAGTCAGCTTTAACAAAGCTTTGTTCCCAATTTCCTTGAATAAGTATTTTATTTGCACTCACAGCTGCTTCTGCAGGTATATCTGTTTGTTTTGCTTAACATAAATATCTAATCAGCCAATCAGCTGCAACTCAGGGCATTAAGGCAAGGTGAAGACAACTTGCTGAAGTTCAAACTGAGCATCAGAAGGAGGAGAAAATGTGATTTAAAAGCCTTTGAATATGGGACAGGCTGGTCTCAGAATTACGATGCTCTTGTTATTCACAACTATCGGTAGGTTTTATCAAGTGGTCAGAGGAGGGGACACTCCCCGTGAGCAGCAGTTGTGTAGATAAAAATGTCTTGTTGAGGTCAGAGGACTATGGTCCAACTGGCTCTAGGTGATGGAACGGCATCAGCAGCTAGTCACTGGTTCCTACCAAGGTCTGCAGAAGAGCATCTCTGAAGTACTACATGATGAACCTGGAAGCAGCTGGACCACAGAAGAAGAAAACCAGACCAGATGTCTCTCCTCTCAGCTAAGAATAGGAACCTGAGCCTTTGATTCACACAGGATCGCCAGAAGTGGACCAGAAGAGACTGGAAAAAGCCTTTCTTGATCTGATGAGTCTGGATTTCAGGTGTCGGGTCAGAATTTAGTGTCACCAACATGAAAACATGGATCCATCTGGTGCCTGGTGTCATGTTTCATGCTGCTGCCACTGGTGTGATGGTGGTGGTGGTGTTCTTGTCCCACTTGGTACCCTTCAGGACCCCTGAGCCTGGTTTAACCACCACAGCTAACCTGAGTATTGTTGCTAACCATGTCCACTCCTTTATGACCACATGGACCCATCACCTGATGCTACTTCCAGCAGGATCATGCACCATGTCACAAAGCTCAGATAATCTCTAACTGGTTTCTAGAACATGACCAAAGATAGACGTCTTCAACAGTTACCAGATCTCAGTCCAATCCAAAACCTTTGGAATGTGGTGAAACGGGAGCTTCTCCTCATGGATGGAGCTCATGCTGTCGTGTCAGGATGGAGCAAAACCTCCGAGGACCATAACCTCTGAGGAATGTCCTAACTAAGTCACATTTTGTTCCAGGAGACACATGGAGCAAGTGGCATAGCTTTACCTAAAGCTAGCATTGTGCACATCTGTAACGCTAATAACAAACTTTACTGTAAAAGCTAATAGGCTAACACTTTTATTGATGAAACCAGCACTTTTCTCCACTTCCTAAACATTTGAATGGAAACAATTCTTCCAAAACCATGTAAACTTTCTTGAGTGAAAAACTTTTTTCCTTCCAAGAGTGAGCTGGAAAAACCAAAAATCAGAATCTTAACTGAGCTCATCGGGATATTTCCATAACAAATCCTTTTTTCACATCCTAATTTATCGTGGAATGGCTCTAGCGTTGGTTTGCACATGAATATGTATGCACTTCTCGTTCTGATGCCTAAAACTGTGCAATGTTTAAAGAGTTTCAGAGATAATTGAATCTTGCTGGCAATTGGATTAGACTTACCTGTGTATGAAGGACGTGGAGAAGGACACATCCAGACTGAATCTAATCAGTCAACAGTGCATCAATCTATCGAGTATTTCCCTGGATTGTTTTACTGATTAGAGCCAACTTTTTGCAGCTCTGCAAGTGGATTCCAGCAATCTCAATGCTTAAGGGATGATAAAAAGGTCAAGCTGCATGTATTAAGGAGCTGAGCTGCAGAGAAACTTCTACAATGCATCTAAACAACGGCTTCTGATGCTTTCTGAGGGACTGGCTGCAGATTGAGGCAAAGCTAATTGCTTATCCTTTGGTGAAGGTTGTATACGTGCAACAAAAACATGGCAGCACCTATCTAAAATCTGCCCTGACGCCACTTTAACCTTCACTTTATAATGGAATAGTTACTTAAAGACAGCTGACCCATAAAATGTAATTTCACATTTTTTCCTCCCTGGATCTTGTCCTCTGTCTGCCCGTGTTGTTGCAGATTGTCCACTGAGCCAAAAAACTACGTTTGTGTGTGCTTGTTTGAGCGTGAGTTGTTCACCAGCTGCCTGGCACTGCGAGCTAACATGGCTTCACTCTGAACTCTTTTCCCCTTCTGCATAAAAAAGGCCCTCTCTGCTAAGCAGCGAGCGAGCGAGCGAAGCATCAGGCTGGGAAGCCAGACTACACAGGCCGTCCTGTGGGGAAAGCGTGCTGCCCCCGCGCTCACAATGCTGCCACTCCGTCAAACTTCCATCCTCTTCAAAGAGCTACAGCGTCATTAGTTATACAGGAGAAATAAATAGCTCAGCCCCAGAGAAATCTCCAACCCAGCTACCTCATTTACTAGTTCACATAACTCACGCTTTACCACAGCGGAGATGGGTAATGCAAGCCTGCATCATTTCTGTTGTCTGGGAATCTGGATTTTAGAGCCGAGTTTTGGTAAAATAACAAAATCCTGCAGCATTCATGTCTTTGTGTGGACTGTTAGTCTTCAAAAAAGGCTCTTCGTTTCCACATTTCATTAGCGTAGGATGCATTTTTAGTTGCTGACTGGTTAGAAGTATTTCCATCATACAAAATGTGTAGTTTTGTAGATCAGGTGATGCTCAGCAAGTCTTTAAGTCATTCACTGACATCTTAGTTTCCTTTTTTAGACACATTTTCCTCCCTCTGAGCTAACAGGACCCCCTCGTTGTTTAGGAGCAGGTGTTCTCTCAGGGTTCGGTTAGATCAACACTTTATTTAGGGACCTCTAGATACCAATAGTTGTTGGCTGACCGTCTAAAACATCTGAGGGGCTTGCTTAAGTCTCCATAAAAGTTGGAGGTCGGATTTAGCTCAGCTCTTGTCGAAATTGCTTCATTTCATTTCAAATCTGTTCAAAGCAAAAGGTTAATTTATTATTTAACCAGATTCTTTGAGATAATTGTGTTTGCAAAACTACTCCACGGCCCTGACTGCATTAAAAACAGCTAAAAACGATACGTCAACAAAAACTGTAACAGTCTAACTTACCAGGATAATTGGGTTCATTCCTCCCATATGGCTCAGCTCAGTGACCTTTAGTGGTGGAGCGTCCGCCCTGGGACTGGGAGATCAGAGGTCAAATCCCGGTTGGGTCATACCAAAAACCCAACACCTCCCTGCATGACACTCAGCCTTGAGGGGCTGGATTGGGGGGTTAAACTACCAAATAGTTTCTGAGCGCGGTCGTGTCTGCAGCTCCCCACTCTCCACGGGGATGGGTCAAATGTGGAGGACAATTTTCACCACACCACACCAGTGTGTGTGACACCGGTCTAATCTTAATCTTTAGAGGGAAGGTCCTGCTTGAACTCAGTTCAAGTTGGTCTTTATTCTGTTTCTAGGGGCCAGACCAGTTCATCTATAAATAATTATGCTCATAGCAGAATGCACAATCAGCTTTAAGGTTGTTGGATTTTAAAGTTAGCTTCCTCCCTGCTGAATCTTCTCAAACAGATTTTCAGCAGCAAATTATTGAGGACAGTTGAGGACAATCCTTGCATCATGTGATTTCCTCCTGGAAAATATCACATTTTTATTTA